CCTTCAAAAAGCAGCCAGACGCCCAGGGACAGAGGGGGGGGATTTGGGAAACGTGGGCCGCCCCCTGGGCCTGGGGACTTGGTCGCTGGGTATAGAAAGGGAAGGGGGAGGAGGAGGCTGACGAGGAGAAATGTGGAAACCCGAAGGTACCCGTACCGCTACTCCCCAGACCTCTCCCGGGTCTGTGTTCTGACGGGAATTTCGGAGCGAATCCAGCGGTGGCGACGAGGGCCTCGCAGGAGGCCCCCAACAAGTGAAAACAGGCGCAAGGCGACGGCATGGGTACCCGTTCCTCCTCCGAACCCAGACCCCCGACGTCGTGATTTGCTCGCAACGTCGATCCTCAAAGGCCTCGACCCACTCACTCCCGTGGACCGGCTTTTCATCCTGAGTCGCTTTCTGACGGTCCCGAGGCCTGGGATAGATGAACCAAGCATGGCCGCGAGGATTGCGTTGTGCTGGTCTGTAGACTACAAACATAAAAAAAATGACGGTCCCGAGGCCTGGAAGGGGACCCCGGAGGCCGAAACTACCGACAAACGTTCCGTCGTGATTGCTTCGCTGCGCGAGGGGGGTCTGGGTCGCCTCGTCCGCAGGAGGGGCAGCAGGAGGAGCGGCCCGGCGGCGGAGCAGCGCGGCGCGCCCCACCGACGCACGGCCAGGGAAGGGCGGCGAGGCCGCGGCGCGCTGGGAGGCGGCGCGTGGCTTCAGGTCGGGCATGTCCCCCTGCAGGCAAATCTTGCAAGATAAATCAAAAACCTGATCGGACAAGAACGGGAAGCGCCGCTTCAGTCTAACGGGCGTATTGGGCGAAGAAAAAAGGAAGGCGAGGGCAACGAGGAATCGATGACGAGGACGAAGTGGCGAACGTGAGGATAGCAAGCAGGAGCATGAGGATAACGAGGAGGAAGAGAAACACAAGGACGAGGACGATGAGAACGAGGGCGAATTTTGAAAGAAAATTACAAAAATCCGCCGATCGGGCGTGTGAGCTACAAGGAGCCTCAGCGAGAGCTTCAGCTCTGAGCCTAAGCAAGAGTTTCAGCTCTGCTTGTGGGGGGTCTCCGGGGTGGCTCTGCTGGGGAAGGGGGGGTGGAGAGGGGAAGAGGGGGGGCGGTCCTCCATCTGGCGTTTTCTCAAAGATTCCCCAGGACTCTCTGTTTCGGGGGGTCCCAGGGCCCCCCCCCCTCAGATCTAGCCACTACCGCCCCCAGGGCCCTCCAATCGGGACCCTCCCCGGACCCCCCCCGGGACCGCTCCAGGGACCCCCCAAGAGGCACGTCAAATCCAAAAAAGCGCCCCCGACGACTCCAAGAACGCTCCCTCCCAAGCAGCGTCCCCGACGACTCCAAGATCACCGAATCCAGAGCCCCCCGGATCGGCGGCACTGGCCGGAGGCCTTTACAACAGTCCAGATAAATTCAAAACAAGTCAACGAAAATACCCAACAAATCATCCCCAGGCGATGTTTTCCTATTGCTGCATATTCCTCCTGTAGTGGGACACGCCCGACTTAAGCGTGGCTGCGCTGGTCCCCCTGCGGGGGGGCCGCGCCTGTGGAGCCACGGCGAGGCCGGCCCCGGCGGGCCCGCTCTGGGGGCGGCCAGGAAGGGGGCGCCCAAGAGAGAGGAGGAGGAGGAGGAGGAGGAGGAGGAGGAGGAGGAGGAGGAGGAGGAGGAGGAGGAGGAGGCGGAGGCGGAGGCGGAGGAGGAGGAGGAGGAGGAGGAGGAGGAGGAGGAGGGGGAGGAGGAGGAGGGGGAGGGAGGAGGAGGAGGAGGAGGAGGAGGAGGAGGAGGATTTTTCGACCTCGACGCTATCACCTCTGACCGCTCCGGCGAACACGAACTCCAGGAAGACCAGGCCGAACGGCACGACGAGCGGGTACGGCATCACGATAGCGAGGGAATTGCCGTGGCCATTATATGCAGTGACTGTTAAAAGCCGAAGCCGTCCAGGTCGAACTCGTCGAGCGGGTCTGCGCTGGAGTCGTCGGACCACGCCACCGCGAACCGAGAGAACAACGCTCCAGCATCCGCCACTCCTGTCCTTGGCGGGCTCCCACTTGCATAACCACTGCAGCCGAACAAGCGGCCTTCACCAGGATCGACGGGAGTCCCCGCGGGATCCACGACGGGGCGGCGAGAGAGGGCAAGGGGTCCTCCCTCTGCGGCACCGAGCTGCTCGCCTGCACGTGCACTTCCCCTCAGGGCCTTCAGCCGCAGGGGGGAGGGTCCCCACGGCTGGTAGTTGGGCAGCCTGCTCCTTCTCGAAGTCCGCCTGGGCCTCCGTCTCATCCTCGGGCTCCGCGTCCACGCGGAGGCGGCGGCGGACGAAAGGCTGCAGCGAGCGACCGAGTGGCACCGCCCACCTACGCAGCTGGAGCAGCACGCCCTGCTGGAACTCCAAGTCGAAACCGTGCTCCACGATGCCGACGCCGCCGTCGCGATCGGCGGACAGCTGAGGTACACCAGCCTTGAGCTCGGCATGACACGGCACCGCAAGGGCAGCCACCCCCCGCAGGGGCCCTGGCACGACACCCGTTGCCAGCTCCTCGTCGCCCTGCGCCTCGCCCAGCTCTACGAGCCGCCAGCCCGCGGCGAGGCCGCGCACGAAGGCCTGGGCCGCGCTCTCGGCGGTGGGGCCACAGCCATGCCACACGCCAGGTGCTAGCCACTCGGCCGTCGGCTGGGCTTGTTGCTCCTCGGCACCCGCGTCGAAGACACCGCAGGAGCCGTCCACGATGTCGCCAGCGCAATGCCCCAGCCTGGGCCCAGCAGCCGCCCAGGCGATCGCCTCGTCGGGGGCTGCCTCGAAGCCCCCTGAAGGCACACGCTGTGCGTGCCACGAGGCGTTTCTCCGCCTGCGCACGCTGCCTGGGATGCGCCGCCCGGCAGCCAGTAGACGAAGCGCGGGTCGCGCCCCACGCTCACGATCCTGCCAGCTGACAGGGCCGGCGCCAGCGCTGCGGGCCACCACCGCGGCCACCAGCGCCTCCTGCTTCCGGCGTCGGGCGGCTCGGCGAGCCGCCGACGGGCCGAGCGAGGCGGACTCGGCTCGGACGGGTCGCCCCCGTAGCCGTCTCCAAAACCAGCGTGCGGGCCGCCAGCAGCCCGGGCCGAGGGAGACATCACCATGCCGGCTTGAGCCGCGGGAGGCCGCACGCGGGACGGCATGAGCCAAAATGGCTTGAGCCAAAATGGCTACGGAGAGGAGGAGGAGGAGGAGGAGGAGGAGGAGGAGGAGGAGGAGGAGGAGGAGGAGGAGGAGGAGAGGGAAGGAGGAGGAGGAGGAGGAGGAGGAGGAGGAGGAGGAGGAAGGAGGAGGAGGAAGGGGGCTACCAGGGGCACACAAACAGACAGGCGCTGATCCCAGGATCCTCCCCACTTCTCCCATAGTTTCCAATATGTTCTGGGTCATCGAGATGGGGCGCCCGACAGCGTGCGCCCAGGAGGCGGGCTCGCAGATCATGGCCCGAGAGGCGCGCGCGCGGAGGCCGACGACCTAGCAGACCACCCCAACTTGACCCAGAAGGCCCAAATCTCGGGCTGGAGGGGAGGTACTATCGGACCCAAGCCAGACGAACATCCCTCAAGAACACGAGACCCTCCGCCGGCCAAAACAAACAGAAAGGGTACCCTCCCAAGGGTGCACAAGAACATCCAACAAGCACGAACACTCGGGCACCCTCCCCGAACCGACCTCGATCTTACACCTCGATCCGGCCCTACCAGACCTCTCACAACCTGACCCCCGAAGACCCACATTTCGGGTTGGGGGGGTAGCGAGTTCCGCATGTGTTTCTTCTAGAACCCCAGGCGCACCCCACCACCGAGAATGGAGGGCAAGTTAACTTAGGGGCCTTCGGGTTGGGTTGGGGTGGTCTGGTGGGTGGCGAGAGCCGGGGGTGGGGGGTGGGGTGGCGGTTTGGGGTGGTCTGGGGTGGGGTTTGGGGTGGTGGTTTGGGGTGGTGGTTGGGGGTGGTTTGGTGAGCGATTTCTGCGCGTGCTGAAACTTCTGTTTTGGCCAGCGGTCGCCAGAGGATCCGACGGTGGTCGAGCAGCGGCGGGGCTCGCGAGTGCAAAGCGAGGCGCAGGGTCAGGTCGGGCGTGTCCTCCGACAGGCGGGCGTAGGACGATTTTTCTGAGACCAAAAACAATGATCGAAAATTGTCACACACACACAAAAAAAACGTCCCCCGACCAGCCTGACAATTTTGGAATACTCCTCCTGTAGAGGGACATGCCCGACGCAAGCACGGGGAGGGGGGGGCGCGCGGGGCGGGCGGAGAGGCCGAGGGGGGGAGAGGGAGCCGCACCCCCGGGCCATGCAGGTCCTCGTGCGCGTGCCGAGGTGCCCGTGGGCGCGCGGAGACAAGAGGAGGGGGCCGCGCAGCCCCTGGAGACTGCGTGGTCGCGGTCATGGGACCCCCTGTGAGGACGAGCGGGATCGCACTACGACGCGAACGTGATGCTGACGCGAACAAATGTGATGACGGTGTTTATTGATCGTCGCCTTCGCGATCAAGCGCCCCAACGTTGTGCGCCGGATTGCGTGCATTGTTGTCTGTAGCTCTGTGTGCCCGGCTCGAGCGCCGGGCTCAAGCTTGTGACTGCGAAGTCGGCTCCTGAACAACACGATTTTGCCATTGATTCAGCCGTCCTGATTAACCGAAAAAGGACTTCCAACCCTTTGGAAGGGGACCTAAGTTAGGAGGGCCACAACCCTTTGGGAGGGGACCTGAGTTAGGAGGGTCAAACAAAGCCCTAGGGACAGGGGGTCTTGCCTGCAGATGTGCCGCGCCAAGCCGCCCAGAAGCATCGTCCCTGATGCGAAGGCGGGGACCTCAGCGAGGCCAAGTCTTCATCGCGCTCTTAGGGTTGGGGGCTCCCTTGCTCTCGCTGAGGACATCCCCACCCTCCTGGCCGCCCTGGAGCCTCGCGCGCGCGCGCGAAGCGCGCCGCCGGGAGCGCGACGCTGGCCTCAGGCCGTCCTGGTGCGCTTCAGGGCGCGCCCCGCGGCCTCCGCAGGCCTCCTGGCCCGCGCCTTCGCGCCCTGCGGCTTCGCCGGCGGCTTCTCCAGCGCCTCCTGGGCGCGCCCCGAAGGGGAGGAGGAGGAGGAGGAGGAGGAGGAGGAGGAGGAGGAGGAGGAGGAGGAGGAGGAAGGAGGAGGCGAAGGAGGAGGAGGAGGAGGAGGAGAGGAGGAGGAGAGGAGGAGGAGGAGGAGGAGGAGGAGGAGTGGGGGAGGAGAGGAGGAGGAGGAGGAGGGGAGGAGAAGGGAGGAGGAGGAGGAGGAGGAGGAAGCGGAGGAGGAGGAGGGGGAGGAGGAGGAGGAGGAGGAGGAGGGGGAGGAGGAGGAGGAGGAGGAGGAGGAGGAGGGGGAGGAGGAGGGGGCTCAAGAACTGTACGACGAGGCCAGGGCGGGGACGACATCGGACAGGGACAGGTCGGGGGTCTCTGAGATCTGGCGGTTCTGGGGGATGTATCGGGCGCCGCGGCCTTCTCCGACCCTGAAACGAACTCAAGGCCGTGCACGGCGAAAGCAAAACCGAAAACCGACCGAACCGACAGCGAAACTGAAGCCGACAGGCTGAGAGCAGCCTGGAAGGGTACAGCAACGCGGCAACGACGCGGTAAACGACCGGACCGAACCGAACCGACCGACCGCAAGCGACCGCGACGCCACCGGACCGACCGAACCATGAGCACCCTTGGAAGTTGTCCTTGTCCTACTTATGGGCGGCGAGCGAGGGGGGGAAATGAGAAGGCGAAGGCCTCCCAGAAGGCGGCGGGACTTCTCGGAAACCCTCGCGCCCTCTGAGAAGTTGCTGTCCGTCTTCGGGGAAGGCTTCGAAAACTTCTCAGAAGGCCCGTGTACCTCCGAGACTCGTGAGAAGGCCTCTTTCTTCTCGTTTCCCCCCCCTCGCTCGCCGCCGAACTCAGCCCCGCCCGCGGAAGCCAGGCCGCCCCAGGAGGAGGGCGCCATCCGCGGCGGGTGCGCGTCGTGCCGCCCTGTGCGCGTGCGGGCTCCCGGCGCCGAGCGGGGCCGTCCCGCGTTGCGCGGTCGGGGCTCCCTGGGTGCGCAGATCGTTCAATGCTGGACGCCAGAAGAGCAAGACAGGTTCTTGGAGGAGGGAGGGAGAGAGAAAGAGAGAGAGAGAGAGCGCTAACATCCGACGAAAGTCATGACACCAATCGCTTCGCCACGCCTGTCAGGAGGCCCCGTCCTCAGGCACTCGGCGGCATCAGGAGGAACAATGGAGTTGTGCTGCAGCTTTCCGCGTCCAAGCGTATGAAGTGGCCCTGAGACACACACACACACATACATACACACAAATAACAGGATTCCACATGTTTTCTCATATGTTCTGGGTTGTTGTATTCCCCCCACTTCCCATATTTTCCCATGTTTTCCTGGGGATCGACGATTCGTTGTGTCTGTGCTTTTGTTTTCCCCTCCTGAGCAGAAGCGGTAACTGTTGGAGCTCCGCGCGGGCCTCAAACGCAGTTCTGTACATGCCGTGTTCTGCTCGTCCAGACGCACGTTCCCTGGCGGCGCTCCCGTGCCTCCCGTGGCAGCAGATCGTCCCAGAGAGCGTGCTCGGCGCGCTGCCGGATATCGCTCCGCTCGCTCCGCACGCCGTGCTGCGCTTCCAGACGAGCTTCACAGACCTCGAGCGGGAGGCCAGCAGTACGAAGCGCCATAGACTGCTGGGGTCCACGCCGCCGAGTGCTGGATAGCTCAACCCTTGAACGCCCGCGGTGCGGCCGTCACCGCGTCAACATGGCAGAAACCTTCCGTGCGTAGTAGATACACCCATGCACCGATCCTGGCCAGGCCCATCCTGGGCCCAGGATCAGTGCGTACGCCCTCCCAGCTTGGCCATGAACGCATGCGCACCGATCATGGGCAGGCCCATGGCGATCCGATCGATCAAATTCGATATCGATTTCGGCCCGCCTCGCGATCCTCGTTCGGATGCGGCGCTGACGTCGGAACGGACCTCGTTCGGTCGTTCGCTCGCGATTCTGGCTTGGCCATGAACGCATGTGCACCGATCATGGGCAGGCCCATTTCAATCCGATCGATCAAGTTCGATATCGATGTCGGCCCACTCGATCCCACTCGATTCTGATTTTCTGGCGATCCGCTGCGGCCCGATGCCTGCATGGTACCACTGTTGTGCATCTCCTTGCGCGGTAACTCCGACTCGACTTCGACCCCTGTGCCGAGGCAGACCGGTCAGGCGCATTTTCCGACTCGATCAAGCGTCCGCTTCGACGATGAACGTTTTCTTACCCGGCGGTTCGAAATTGGGCGGAAAGGGGGGGGAGGGGTGGGGGGTTCTGGCTCCAGACCTCTGCATAGCACGATTGTTTGCAACCCTGCGTCCTTTGGGGGAGACTCTACCTGGCAAGGGCCCGTGCCGATCGGAAACAACAATGAATAAGAACACGATCACCTGACTGGTCCTGCCTGGGCCAGCGTCGGCGTCGGCGTCAACGTCGTCGTCGTCGGCGTCGGCGTCGTCGTCGAGGGGGAGGCGGAAAAGACAGAGGAGAAGTGGGAGTAGGAGGGGGAGGAGGCAGAGAAGGAGGAGGAGGAGGAGGAGAAGGGGCGGAGGGGGAGGGGTAGGGCGAGGGGGAGAAGGGGAAAAGGACGCGGAGGAGGAGGAGGAGGAGGAGGAGGAGGAGGGGAAGGAGGAGGAGGGAGGAGGAGGAGGAGGAGGAGGAGGAGGAGGAGGAAAAGGAGGAGGAGGAGGAGCAGGAAGAGGAGGCCATCCTCCTCCTCCCTCCTCCCAGCTCCCTCCTCTCTCCTCCCTCCCCCCCCTCCCCCCTCCACCCTCCTCCTCCCTCCTCCTCCGACTCTCCTCCTCCTCCTCCTCCTCCTCCTCCTCCTCCTCCTCCTCCTCCTCCTCCTCCTCATCCTCCTCCCTGCGGGTCCTCCGGCGCAGAGGCCACCTGCTCCTCCTCGGGCTTGGCGGCCGCCGCCGCCTCGGACGCGGCGGGCCCTGCGACGGCCTTCGCCTTCGCCTCGCCGACGGGTGTGCCGCCGCCGCCCGACCCCCGTGGAGAAGGGGAGACGGAGGAGGAGGCGGAGGAGGAGGAGGAGGAAGAGAAGGACGAGGAGAAAAAAAAGGAGGAGGAGGAGGAGAACAAGGCGGAGAAGGAGGAGGAGGAGAGGAGGAGGAGCAGGAGGAGGAGGAGGAGGAGGAGGAGCAGCAGCAGCAGGGGCAGCAGCAGCAGCAGCAGGAGGGGGAGGAGAGAGGAGGGAGTAGGAGGAGAGAGGAGAGAGGAGGGAGGGGGGATTGGGGAGGGGGGGGGCGGGAGGAGGGAGGTGGGAGGATGTAGAAGGGACGAAGGAGGATGGAGATAAGGAGGGGGTAGAGGAGAAGGGGAGAGGAAGAAGAAGGAAGCGGGTGAGGGGGGAGGAAGAAAAAGGAGGAGGGAGAGGGGGAAGAGGAGGAGGAGGAGGAGGAGGCGGAGGCGGAGGAGGAGGCTTTTTGTCCAGTGCGCCGCTGCCAACCAAACTCCAGAGTGCAACAGATGCAGGGGTTGCCTGGCAGGGAAAAGGAATTACGGCACCCAGCTCTTGGCGGTCTTAGACGGCGGGGGGCCCTTGCAAACCCTCTGTAAAACCTCGAGCCGGTGCTTAGTTATGGCATGCGGTCCATGCGCGGCCACAGGACAAGGCTCCCGCAGGGAGCCAGGGCGAGCTATTGCCCAAGAGCCGCATTCGCCGCAAAAAGTAAACGCACCTTTCAGCCACAAAACGTGTGAAGGGTGGACCGCCTTGCCAGCGACCCAAGGCGCAGCTCGCTCAGGGGGCGGGTCAAGCCTCAGGCGACGCCAGAGAGAGTCGCCCCTGGCGGCCAGGGCCCGACCTGGCCTCACCCACTTTTTGACAGTGACCTCCTCCGCCTCCACCGAAACCGAACTCCCAACTCCACCTCCTCCATAAGCAGGGCAAGCAGAGCGGAGCCTCGCGCGGAGCGAGGGGGCAACATCGGAGATCGAAGCCTTGCACATCCCACAAGTCCAAACGCCAGAACCGAACTCCCAAACGTGCGACGAACCCCTCACATCGGCTTCGATCCACCGACGCCTGCGGAGCACAAGATCAATGGGCTGCTTGCGCAGCCTGCGATCAGGCTCGGTCTTGAGGGCGGCACACTCGAGAATGATAGAGGCATTGCGCTTGAGGATAGCACAGGCATTGGCGACGAGCTCATTACAAGTCTGAACAACTCCATTAGGAACCTGGCATTCAAGAGCACGCAGGTCAGCGAGCTCATCAGCGACAGAGTTGAGCACAACATGGTCCCAGTCTACAGTCGCCAAAACGGGCGAGCTTTTGGGCATCCCCCAGCAGGTGGCTGGGAACATGAACCACCTGGAAGCCCCCAGATCGCTCCGAGAGGCGCTGCCAGAATTCCCACCAGAGATCAAACTTAGCCAGCCCCGCAGAGGCCGCTCGGCCAGCCAGGAAACCTTTGACAATATTTGCATGGTCGGTGACCACGCGCAGATCTTGGGCAGGGTCAACGCATCGAAGGCACTCAACCATGGCCGCAAGCTCTGCGCGTGGGACCGTCTGTCGAACCGAGTCGAGTACACATGTGACTCCACAATCCCAGTCAAAGTCATCGCTAGGACGGAGCCGCACAAAGGCAAAGGCAACCCGTCGGAGGACAGGAAACTGGGCAAACTGGCCACCCGTGCCGTCAGTGGCGTAGAGGCCTCCTGGCAGACAGCCTGGAGACAAGGCCCCAGGACAACGCCGCCCCTGGAGGCCCCTGGAACCAGGAACAGGAGGGAGGTTGAACCAAGAAAGGGAAATAAGTCCTCGCATCCAGAAGCACGGGTACTGGAAAGCCTCCTGCTGGGCGCCGTGCCTAAGGTGCTGAGAGTCAACAATCTCCTGGACCTGCGACGAAGCATTACACATGCACTCCCAAAACCTGTGGCAGGAGGTTTCGGGGTCGCGCTGGCAACGCCGACAAATAGGATCAGGAGCCAACTGGGCCGTGTGCCTGCTCTCCTCAGCCCAGTAGCCTCCAGAGACCAAGAGCCGAATCATAGCCGCGAGGTCCCGGCGCCCGCCCTTCTCGAGGGAGGCAACAAGGTCCCAGACATGATGAAGAGAGACAGGCCCCTGGATTCCAGCACCGCCCAAATGCCCAGGAGCCTGGCGCGGCTGAAGCGCGTCAATCGATTCGTCAAAAACCTCAAGAAGAGGGCCTAGAGGGCCGTGCCCGTCCTCCATCATCTGCCACTCGTCACCGCAAGGCGCGATGAGAGTGAAAGGTGAGGGGCGCTGCCATCCTACCGCCAAAATCGTGGCTTGAAAAGCCGCCATCGGGCCACGGACCCAGGCCCACCCTTTTCGGACCCTGGCTAAAGAGGCAGCCCAGTTTCGGGCCAGGCGACGGTGGAGACCTGGGCGCCCCGCCAGACGAGCAAACCACGACTTGACGACGCGACGGACGTGCACCTGGATGGGGGTCCTGGCCATAGCCGTAAGTGAGACGGATAGCGGTAGTGGCACACACTCCTCGCTGAGGGGTCTTGCTGGCAGCACGCGCCATGCTGCGAAGGCCTTTGAGCATGGAGGGAGAGACGCCGTGGATCTCTGGCGCCCGCATGACCTTCGCATAAGCATTCGGATAGACCAAGTTACTGGCTTGCTTGCACGTGCGCCCAAACACAAAAATCTTACTAGTGGCATCCCGCCCCTTGGAAAAGCGGGTCTTCCTGACGGCCGCAGTCCTCCTGGCGCCCAGAGCTGCGTCGCGCCCCAAGTCCCTGGCAGCCAGAGCCACCGAGAACTCGCAGCCCTCACGGACGGCAATCCTGGAAAGCTCAGCCCGAAGGCCAGGCGTGGACGCAAGCAGATGGGACTTATCCAGGGACAACTCACAGCGACGCCTCCTGAGGCCAGTGAGGAGGGCTCGGAGCAGGATCGGAAAGGTAGCAGCGATGGAAGAATGCGCGCCGAAAAGACGGGCTGAGATATCATCAACCCACTCCCGCAGCCGTAGGCCACCGACCGATCCTTTGGCCCCTGCAAGGGGTCGGTGCAAATGAGCACGCGCAAGGGAGGTAGCCTGGCCACGTCCAGCCAACATGCCCCCATGAGCCAGGATCCCAGGATGGACGGCCCCCTCCAACGACAAATGCCGAACCCCCATATAAAAATATGGATGGCCAGGGCCAACAGACGGAGTGGGTAATCTAATTCGCGAGCCGCTTCCACCAAGTCCTGAAGACAGACTTGGTCATAATATTTCTTCATATCAAGCAAATGGCCCCCGACCTGGAAACCGCTGTGGAGGGCAAGTTCCGTTTCAAGCTCGTCGAGCAAACCGGCAACATCAACCGAGCCCCCGACGGTCTGGCCCCAGGGCCCATGCGCCCCACGGCCCCAAGCCGCGATGAAAGGCTTCCTGATGCGCAAGAGAAGCGTGTAAACAAAGCCAAGCAGCGCTATGGGCCTTTTTTCCCCCGTCAGGCTTCGGAATGAGGGCAATCAAGGCAAAGAGCTGCTGGAATGGCAAAGTGCACTGCTCCTCAATGGACTCGAGAAGCTGTATGAGGTGGATCTTGGCCTCACCACTAGCCGCCTTAATTAGGCGCGGCTCGATAACATCCAAACCCTGACCCTTGGAGTCAGGCATCGACTTGAGAGCACGATTAAGGGTGTCCAGGTCGATGGGTGGCAGACGCGGGGACGACCGAGCACTCTTACGCAGGGCAGCTAACGCAGCTCGCGCTTCGCCCTTATCGTGCTGTTGCCAGATGGCCGTCCAAGCGGCCGCTTCAAAATCTCAGAGCTGATCCAAGGCAGAGCAGGGTCCTTCCTCACCGATCTTTTCGGCCGCCAGAGGGTCCAGGGGTGGCTCTAACAACCGATGAGCCAGCCCCGCAGACCTGAAAAGCGCACCCTGGAGCCAGGCCTTCCAAGAGGCCTTCTGAGCCTGAAGAGCGGCACGGTGGGATTTTTCAGACACCTGCTGGAGCTCAGCTAGCAAGTCGCGCAGCCCGTCGAAAGGCATATCTTGAATATGTTGAAACACGAATCTTCCACAAGTTAAAGGCGCCACACTGACCAGCATCGGAAGGGTCAGACGGGGAGGGGGGCACCTGCTGAGAAAGCCAAGCCACAGTGGCACGAAACTGAGCTGCATGCTTACGGTCAGGCTGCGGCGGGATATCCTCCATGGAGTCCTGTGGGGCAAGCTTGAGCAGCAGCTTGAGCTTGACAAAAGCAGCTTGCCAGAATCGGGCGTCACGATCAGCCTGGCAAGGCCCCTCAACCTGGGCGGCCGCGAGGGGCACCAAACGCAGCCTGGGCTCCTGGCAACGACCAACATACTGCAACACGTGATCCTGGGCCAAGCCAAGCTTCGAGAAGGCCTCAAGCTCCAGAGCAACAATCCAGGTAGATAGCTGGGCCCCTAAGTCGAGGGAGACCTGGATGTTGTCATGCTCGAGCTTGAGGAGACTGGCAGCAGCATAGTTGGCCTTGAAGAAGCCTGGCCGCTTACGCTGCAGCAGCTGAGCCTGCGCCAAGAAGAGCGGCCAGGCTTCAACAGGGGCAGCAACGCCTTTGACAGGAAGGGGCGTAGGTCGCATGGCCTTCCAAACCATGATGGCACTGGGAGAAGCCGAGACCTGAAACTCCAAAGCGGCGTGGGTACCCCAAGGCACTGGAACAAGCGACCTAAACTGGACGGCGCTAGAGAAGCTAGCAGAGACCAACGCGTAATCGATCCGACTGGTGGAGACCCCTGAACACGCAACCGAAATACCAGGCATAGGAACAGGGACAAGGCCGAGAGGCCCCAGCCAACTTGACTCCTCGAGAACACGCTGGTCAACCTGCCAGTCGCCCACCACAAAGGCGGGAACACCTGCCGCGCTCAGATGGGCGCCGAGGTCCGCCAGTAGCTCGAGGTTCTGACCGCTGAGCTCGCCCCCCGTGACCAGGTGGACTGGGGCGATGGCCAGGGAAACCTTCCGCAGCCTCAGAGTGCACAGCAACCACCGCGCCGTGCCAGCAGTAGTCCATTCACCCGCCTCACATGTCAACTGCGAGAGCCCAAGATGAGAGCGAGCAGCAACAAGAACACCTGACGATGCATCATCCGCAAGCGTGGGCTCAGCGGCCTGCGCCACAACCTTCCGGCCCAGCTTGTGTAGCTTCTTGGCCATCGCCTAGTACTTGGAGCCGCGCATCCTGTGCTCGACAAAAATGATGATATCAGCCGAACATCCTGCAAACCACCTGCAAGCAGCGGGGCCCCACACACTGATGTTGGAGTAGACAATGGACAAACTGCGCTGAGAGGCGGAGTCGCTGTCAGGGTCAGGCCCGGGCCCCTGACTCTCATCGTCCTGCGAATCCAGCAAAACGGGCTCGCCGCCTGATCCACGAGGGTCACCACGGGGCGATTGCTCCAACCCCGTGGGCCGCAGGGAGGGGGTCGACGGCCATGCGACGAACGAACCTGGCGAACCAGGATTTCCAGCAGCACAGACAAGAGGTCCACCAGTAGCGACGATAGCCTCAGGGTCTGAAGCGCGACGGTTGGGAGAAGAGTCAAACTCACGTTCAGCAAAGACCATGGAGCGGGCGTGACGCAGAAGTTGCTCTTCCCATTCGTCAGGGTCTGTTTGCGAAAGCCGAATCATGTTGGCATGGCAGCGAGCCCTCGCACTCCTCCTGGGCCTCCAGGCCGAGAGACAGATGTCCTGAGCCATGTCGCGCCTCACGATAGCCAAATTCTCAATGCCAGCCCGAGCCGACTGCTCCATAACGATGACCAGGAAGACGCCCTGGGCTAGCATGTCAGAAACGTAAGTGGCACATAAGCGCAGCCAGTGAGCTTGGTCGCCAGGCTCATCCAACAGACTCGGATCCTGGAGCCAGAAGTTTGCGCAAGACCGAAGCCGACGCTCAAGACTAAGTCGCTGGAGAATGGCAGCACGCCGTTCAGGATCCTGATCCTTACAAGTGAGGACAGAGTTCACGGCGTGCCCTGCAGCGGGCCCCCGCAGGACCGCGCGCCCCTGGGAGTGAGGGGCCGTCCCCTCTCCGGCGGCGCCTCCCGCGTCACGCGCCTTCTGGAGCCAGCGAGACAGCCTGCCTGCCCTTGAAGCCGAAGAGCACGAGGCCGAGGTCGACGCATATTCCGAAGCAGTAGATGCCGCAACCGAAGAAGTGGCCGTACAGCACGCACATGTGGCGTCGTCTGCCGAGCCTCCAGCAAGACGCGCGCCGCGGGATCCCGTGCTGAGGTCTTGGCCGAGCCAACCTGCAGCAGGCGCCGTCCGCGGGGTCATTGCCTTCGCAGGCACGGTGAGTGAGCGCCCATCGCACGAGGTCAAAGGAGACGAAGATTCGCCAGAAGAGGTCGCCGCAAGCGGGAAAGAAGAAGAGGCGCCGCCTGCCGTCGAAGTGGACGGCATCGAGGAAAGCGAACATGAAGAGGCCGAATTTGAGAGCGCACCGACAGATGAGCTGCAGGTAGAACAGCTATCACACTCTTGACCACCATCATCGGAGCTAGGAGCCAGGCTCGCGAGCCTCAACCTTGACCCGAGCTGCGGCCGCCTTGGCTCGTGCGAGAGTGTCAGAGCGCGCCTTCTCAATCCGCTTCTCTTTGTCGGTCGGCACGGCAGGGGCCTCAGCAACCATGGGTTCAGCCTTCGGCGCATCAGCCGCAGGCGCCTGAGAGGAAGCAGCACCCTGGCTGCCCGCACCTTGAGAAGCCGCCACCCCTGTCGCAACCGCGCCATCAGCAATCTTGCGCTTCTTACGCAACTCGCCCATCCGCTTCTGGTATTCCTCCTGGTGCGTCTTGAACTGGGATTTAATGCTCGTGAGCGTTCCGTGCAAGAGGGTCTTGACCTGCTGCGACTGCTCGAGCTTGAACTTTTCAAATCCCTCGCGGTCCTCGGCCGAGAAGACTGGCCCCGAGACGTCAAGCTCTTCACCAAAGTCGAGCTTGATCTCATCAGCGGAGTCCTTGAAGAGGGCATCGAGGGAAATGGCGTTTTTGCTGGAAGTGGGCTCAGCAGGCTTAAGAACTCCGACGGCAAGCTTACGAGTGGTTTGCTCAAGTATGTCAGCGTTCTCCAGGTCCGTTGCCATGAGCTCATCAAAGTGCTTGTCAAGGTCGCTGACCTCCTTGTCCAGCGCCGCGCGGCGCGCCAGGGCCTTGTCAAGCTTCTCCTGGGAAGCCTTCTTGGCCTGCGAGGCACGCTGCCGCTCGGCCTGAGGCGTCGCCTGGGGCTGGGGCGGCGGCTTGGGCACGAACTGAGCGAGCAGCTTCTGGGCAAGGTCGGGCGCGAGGTGCGACGCAGCCTCCTTGACAGCCGCGACAGCTTGAGGAGGAATGGCCTCAGAGGGGCCCTGCTGCATCTGCTGCGCCAGGGTACCCTTGCGCCAGCGACCCTTGGACTTGCCGCCTCCATCACCCCATCCTGACTCCTCAGCACCGGTGTACTGAAGCATCTGGCCGCCGACGCCGACAGAGGAGCTGGGAGGGTGGCACTGGGACTGGCACCCGACGCAGAAATTGTGCCGCTTGGCCAGGAGATCATTCCAAGTCCAATGGCCACAAGAGCACAGTGTACAGCCGAGCACCACGATTCTGCCCAGCCTTGGCGCCCCCAGGCGGAACTCGGATCCAGGGCTGCCTCGTCCAAGTTTCTTCCGCATCATCAGGGATACGCCACGAGGCAGGGGCCATCGCGGCGTCGTTGCAACTAGCTCCGTCAGGAGCTCACGAAAGATGGGCTGCCAGAGGCCCGTGCAGTACTGGCAAAAGCTGTCAGGCACAAGGCCTTGGCACTGCTGCGGACTAGCAGTTTCCAGTTCGGCACGTGGGCGCAGAGCCCTCAGGTGCAGCATTCTTGAGCCAAAATGGCTACGGAGGCGGAGGAGGAGGCGGAGGAGGAGGAGGCGGAGGAGGAGGAGGAGGAGGAATGTGGCTATTAATGCAGGGATGCGCATGTGAGCGGCGATCAAAAGCGGGTCTTACGCGAGACGGCACAGCGACCTTGCGCGTTGGCTTACGCAGGCCGCCGGCGCGGCACGCCACACTGGAGACGAGATCGCGCACGCGCGACCTTGCGCGGGCGACTTGCGCACGAATGTCGGCGCAAACGACCCCGTTTTCGTGTCACTCGTGTGAGAGGCGACAAGAAAGGAGTCTTACGCGATGAAACATAGCGACCTGATGCCGCAACTTACGCGGGAAGCTCGCGCACTAATGTCGGCGCAATCGATTCCGTTTTCTTTCGTCGCTCATGTGGAGGGACGTCTCATCAATTCCTTCCTGCGGCCTGGCCTTCGCCTTCGCGCCGCCCTTGGGAGCAGCAGCGGACCTCTTCTTGGAGGGATCGTACTTGTCGCACTCGCGCACGACCGGCTTGGGTGCGCCGAAAAACATGGTGAGGGGCTGCTGCTTTGTCTTCGACTTGGCCGCCTTCAGGCGGTCGAAGAAACGCAGTGTCCTCTCCTCGCTGAACGAATTCTCATCGATGAGGAACTTCCTCGCGGAGCTGACAGGTCTGCACGGCACAGAGGGCGCACTTTACCTCCTTGCTCCCCTCCCCTCCCCCCGCCCGCGCGCGGCGGGGGGGGAGAAGGAGAGAAGCTCTAAGAGGTAGGTAAAGGGAAACGACAGGGGAAACTGGGTCAAGGGAAGGGGAACTTCGAGCTCGAATCGGCGATACATGGCCGATATATTGGCGACAGGACCCCATATTGTCAGGCCTTTATCGGCGATGAAAGGGCGACCGGGAGTCGATGCGTTCCCCCCTGAGCCTCCCCCCCCCCATGTTGCCCCAGAGAAGGAGGGGGGAGGAGGACAACACAACACAACACAACACAACACACAACAAAACACACAACAACACAACACAACACAACACAACACAACACAACACACACACACACACAACACAACACAACACAACACAACACAACACAACACAACACAACACAACACAACACAACACACACACAACACAACACACTCACACTCACACTCACACTCACACTCACACTCACACTCACACACTCACACTCACACTCACACTCACACTCACACTCACACTCACACTCACACTCACACTCACACTCACACTCACACTCACACTCACACTCACACTCACACTCACACTCACACTCACACTCACACTCACACTCACACTCACACTCACACTCACACTCACACTCACACTCACACTCACACTCACACTCACACTCACACTCGCACTCGCACTCGCACTCGCACTCGCACTCGCACTCGCACTCGCACTCGCACTCGCACTCGCACTCGCACTCGCACTCGCACTCGCACTCCCACTCGCATTCGCACGCACGCACGCACGCACGCACACGCGCGCGCGCACACACACACACAGACACAGACACAGACACAGACACAGACACAGACACAGACACACACACACAGACACACTCACACACACAAGCACAAACACAAACACACACACACCAGCACCAGGATGACGGCGGCGGAGACACGAAGGGCACCCTCGCCCTCGCCCTCGCCCTCGTCGCCCTCGCCCTCGCCCCTCGTCGTCTTCGCCCTCGCCGCCCTCGCCCTCGCCCGCGCCCTCGCCACCCTCGCCCTCGCCGTCCTCGTCGCCCTCTTCCTCCGAGCAGGGGAGCGGCGAGCTGCAGGAGCTGAGTAATGACCGACCGTCCCGGAATTCCTATAGTCCTACCACTAAATGTTCTTAGAACCCCAAAATGCTCCAATAACAAAAGCAATGTTCTTATGACATAAACCCGATGTGGTAACAGGACAATCCCAACCAGAAGCGTTCCAAGAACATTGCGTGGAAACCACAAGCGGTTCTTAGGACATTGTCTGGTAGGACTATAGGTACGCCGGGACGCTTCGCCACTGCATGGAGGAATCAGAGAGGGGTGCGCGACCGTCTCCCGCCAGCGCGGGGGGGGCAGCCTGCGGGCTGCTTGCGGCGCCGCGGCTCTCCCTCTCTGTTCCGCCCCACTTGGACGCACCGGCGGGGGCAGCTAAGCCGCCTCGCCCCTCCTCTTCCCTCCTCTTCCCCCTCCTTCCTCCTGCTCCTTCCTCCTGTTCCCTCTTCCTCCTCCTCCTCCTCCTTCTCCTGTTCCTCCCTCCTCCTTCCTCCCTCCTCCCTCCTCCCGCCTCCTCTTCCCTCCTCCTGCTCCTTCCTCCTCCTGCTCCCTCCTCGTCCTCCTCCTCGTCCTCCTCGTCCTCCTCGTCCTCCTCCTCGTCCTCCTCCTCCTCCTCCTCCTCTCTTCCTCCTCCTCCTCCTCCTCCTCCTCCTCCGCCTCCTCCTCCTCCTCCTCCTCCTCCTCCCCCTTCTCCCCCTCCCCCTCCTCCCCATCCATCCTATTCCCTCTCCTCCTCCTTCCCCTCCTCTTCCTCCTCCTCCCCCTCCTCCCCCTCCTCCCCCTCTCCCTCTTCCCCGTCTTCCCCCCTCCTCCCTCTCCCTCCTCCTCTCCCTCCTCCCTCCTCCCTCCTCCCTCCACCCTCCTCCCTCCTCCCTCCTCCCTCCCCCCTCCTCCCTCTCCCCTTTTCCCTCCCCCATCCTCTCCTCCTTTTCCCCTCCCTCTCCCTCCTCCGTCCTCCGTCCTCCGTCCTTCCTCCTCCTCCCTCCTCCACCTCCTCCTCCCTCCTCCGCCCTCCTCCCTCCTCCCTCCCTCCTCCTCCCCTCTCCCTCCTCCCTCCTCCCTCCTCCCTTCCTCCTCCCTTCCTCCTCCTCCTCCCTCCTCCCTCGTCCTCCCTCGTCCTCCTCCTCCTCCCCCTCCTCCTCCTCCTCCCCTCCTCCTCCTCCCTCCTCCTCCCTCCTCCTCCCTCCTCCTCCCTCCTCCGCCACCTCCCTCCTCTCCTCCCCCCCCCTCCTCCCTCCTCCTCCCTCCTCCCACTCCTCCTCCTCCTCCCTCCTCCCTCCTCCCTCCTCCTCTCCTCCCCCCCTCCCTCCTCCTCCTCCTCCTCCCTCCTCCTCCCTCCTCCTCCCTCCTCCTTCCTGTTCGTCGAACGTCACCATTATGACACTATCTGGACGGGCTGAATCGGGAAGAGAGAGGAGCTGGGGACTAGGGTCATTTCTCAGCATCGCCCCCTTGAGCCAAAGTGCCCACAAACAGTACACCTGAAGGGCAGCACGGGGGGACAGGGGATGGGGTGCAATGGAAAAGAGAGACAGCACCCCAAACTTTAGCATCCCTTGTCCACGCTTCTCCTGGACTCTTGCCAGGCTCGAACTCACAGGTAGATCGGGATCGATCGTGATCGATCCTGGGCTTTTGGAGGGTACCGGAGGTTCCAGTCCTGGAGGAGCCACCCGGGCCCTGCCGCTCTCTCTCGCCGACAGGGAGAGGCCACGCGGCTCAGCGCGAAGCCTGCGTTCTGACGTGAAACTTCAGGATCCTGGGCACACTCCTCGCTGGGCCGCCCCTCTCGTGTCTCCATTCTCCTCACCTCGGGCTCACCCCGCCTCCTGGTCCTCCTTCTCCTCCCCCTCCTTGTCCTCCTCTGCTTGAGGGAGAAGTCGCTGAGAGATCTCCTCGTCCAGTGCTTTCCTGGAGGCGGTCCTGGTACGAGACTTCAGGGATGCATTCAACGATCTTTCGTCGAGAGTTCCGGACTCGTCTCGCAGGACGAGAGTGCCCTTGGCAATGACGTCCGACAGGGCTAAGTTGGCCTCCTGGGGGTCTATGTGGGTCAAACGGTCCGCTGGCATGCGGCAGTGGGGCACCCATCTGACAACGCCACCCTCGCGAGACATCGTGTCACGCACGATGGCCATTTCTATGGCGTTCCGTCGGTCCGCCTTTCCCCCCCCGGTGTTCTTGGAGAGAGTATCGAACAGGGACTTGGCGCCCACCACAGAACCCCCCTCGGCAGCCCTATGTATCTCGCAGCTCTCCGGGAGAGCAACCGCAAAGGGCACGTCGTCTCGCCGCCAGCCGGGCCCCCCCACATCCCCGTAAACGAGATCCCGGAAACAAAGGTAGACCCACTGGGCCTCCGCCAGGGCCCCGGACAGACTCAGGGTTTCCGCAGAGAGAGTGGAGGAGACCACGCGCTTGAGGCGCTGGGATCGCCAGGCCAGAATGGGCACCCGGGCCCGGCGGCTATCTTTAATCTGGGGCTCCCCCATCATCACTAGCCATCCCCCTTGAGCCCCGTTGTTCTTGGCAGACCCCGGGCCCCCTGCGTCAGAGCAGGTGACCATCGTGACGGCCGACAGGTTGAGAGGCCACATGGTGAGGTAGACCTGAGCTGAGCTGCGAAGGAACCGAGCGACTTTGTTAACCATCAGCAGGCTCTTGATGGTCACGTTGGGGCACTCGGGCGCCAGGGGCGAGGCCGACCCGGCCACCTCGGGCCGGGGCTGGCGAGCGGCCCACTGCACCTTGGCCACCAAGCCGCGGTAGTCTCGGAGTTCCTGAGGGCTGAGGGGTTCTTCGGGGCAGGAGGCTCGACCCCTGGGAACTTTGATTGGGTGAGCCTGTTCTAGCACGTACTTCTCCTGATCTATAAGAAGACGCCCGTCACTCATCTGCCGAATGCGCCCGCCGGCGCACTCTGTCTCACGCTCCTGCCATTTTCCGAACTGAAACCTGGAAGCCAGGGACTCCCGCAGAGAGGCCTGCCGATAATTAGGTCATCAACTTCGATGACAACCAGAGCTTGAAGGGCCCCGCTCTCCTTACACTTCTTCCAGGTGCAGGGCCCCAGAAGACTTCGCTTGAAACCGAGGGAGTGGAGGTGGGAAGTCAACGTCTGATGCCAGCGAATGGGGGCATCGTTGAGTCCGAAGACTGGGGCCACTAACTCGATGAGACTGCCTCTGGGAAGTCCTAGGCCGTCGCGCGGCTCGCAGTGCACCTTGCCTGCTGGGCGGGAAAGGGGATCCGCCTGGCAGAATGCATTCTTGGCGTCCGCGAACAGCAGACGCCAACGCTTTCCTGCAATGACCTGCAGAGCGACGCAAATTGACTCCTCAGAGGGGGTTGGGGAGTAAACCTGCAACGATTCGGCGTCTGGATCGCCGCACCCTCGGACGCACCACCTCGACTTGGGGATGGGAGCCGCGGCGGCGCCCTCCTGGGGCTTCCACCGCCTGACCATGCGGGACGAGAGAATCCTGGAGGGAGAGTGTCGTCTGACCAGGTTGGCCAGCTCTGGGGACAGCACCTTCACGGCTCGAGCGTCGAAGATGGCTTGCCATTCTTTCGCGTCGGACCCCCGGAAAGCGCCCCGCTCGGACTGGGGCAATTTCTGTCCTCTCCGGCCTCCGCCGGTCCCCTCGGGAGCCCCCGTGATCCAGACGGCCTGGTCTTCACCGACGTCGGCACTCCCGAAGGACTCCTCCCACAGTTCGCAGTCCTGCATATCGTCTTCTGAGCCGGTCTTGAAATCGGGATCTGGTCCGATACATAAAAGCCACTCCTCCTGGCATGTCGGCATCGGAGGCCCCAGTCCTGGAGGGAACCCTGGGTCACATTCTGGGGGGGCGGGGGGAGTGAGGGAAACACTGGAGCCGGCCGCGCTCTCTGCCGGCCCGCCGGCTGCTGCGCTCTCTGCCGCCCCGCCCGTTCGAGCGGAGATGCGCCGGTTCCCCCGCTGCTCGACGCGCTCCGAAAGTGATGAGTCCGCCAACTCCTCCACAAGAGTGATAGATGAGCTGCCCCCTCCTCCGTAGGGGTGCACCCTGGAAGCCCGAGGAATCGAAGCCGAGCGGACGGTGCGACCTCGGTAGACCACCGGGGCTGGAGATGAGCTCTCCTCTTGAACTGGACTGAGGCCCCGCCTCGGGAGGCTGGGCGCTCAACTCCCTCGGATGGGGCAGGACGGGAGGTCTTCGCGCGATCTGACGCCTCGGAGGGGGCCCCTTCCTGCTCGGACACGTCTCCTGCGGCGCCGCCCTCTCTTCCTCCGCCAGCCGAAGGACAGGGAGAAGGAGGAAATCCGCTCGACCCGGGAATCAAAGGGTCCATGGGCGCGTGGGCCTCCGATGAAACTTGACGCGAGGGCAATCCTGACAGCCCGGGGTCGAGAGAAGATGGGGGGGACTCCTCCGGCGGGACGTTCCTGGGAACGGGCGCAAATCCCTCCTCGCGACGGCACATCGGGGAGTCCCAGGCCTCGTCGGGGGGGGCCCTTCTCCTTCGACGTCCACGGCACCTATCTTGCGACCAGGGTCGCGAATCTCCTGCTGCAGCGCCTGAAACTCGGGACTGTCAATCAGCTCGGCCCCCTGAGACTCTGCTCGAGTCGCTTCACGCATCTGTTCAACACTGCATTTCCACAACTTAGTGCGCATGGCAACCCACGCGGTGGTCCCCTTGTGGTAGACCACCGCGCCTGGGCCCACCCTCCTGTCCCGCTGCAGGGCGCGTGTCTTGAGACCCACCGACTTTCTCCAAAGGAAAATCCACTGGCCTGGCAGGAAGACCCGATCCTAGTGCCGGCGAACCCGAACCGCTTCCTGGAGCCTGGACCTGGCCTCGCCGGCCATCAAGGCCTTGCGAGCTTCCTCCCGAATACGATGCTTCCGAGCGAAGTTCCCTGCCACGGTGTCCCGGCCGTCCACGTCAGCCTGAGCGTCGTCCAGTCCGATGGCGCCCATGGGCTCATCGCTGAGAAGAGCCCGCGGGAGTCGAGGGTTCTCCCCGAACACTCATTGGCACGGGGAAAAACCAGATCGGTGGAAGTATTTGTTTTTCGCAGCAACCGTCTCACACAACAGCCGATCTACTTCTTCGGGAGCGGAGGGGCTGACGATCGAGGAGGCGCGAGCGATCGAGTCTTTCATCCATCCTCCGTGGCGTTCGCATCTGCCGTTTTGCCGCGGGGGCGTGGCATCGCAAATGTGCTGGAACACGCCCAGATGCTCACTCCTCGCTCGAAGGCCCCCCGGAACTCCGATCCACCGTCCGCCATCAGCACCTCGGGAGGACCGAAGACTCTGATCCAGGTATTTTCGAAGGAGGTCCAGACGCTGAGCGACGAGGTCCCGGGATGGACAGGAAGCGCGTAACATTGCTGAAAACTGGTTCCGTGACCCAGCACGTCAAGCACCGGGGCCCGGGCTCCGAGGACGTTCAGGTAGGACAAGCCGGCCGCTACAAGCCTGTTGAAATGAAAAGTCCGGGGGACCGTAGCTTTTCGTCTCCAGGGCGGCTTCTCGTGGCCTTCGCAGGCCTCGCATCTGAAGTCGCTACGGACGTATCTCAGAATGTATTCTCGGGCCTGGGCTTCTTTGCCTGGATGGTCCATGTTCACGTGCGCCTTCTGAACGAGGGTCTGGAGTGCTCGACTGATCTGAGGGCTGCTCTCTCCCTCCTGCTTTTATTCCGCCTCCTCCTCCTCTCTAGCGGGCTGGCCCTCGGCGTCCCCGACGGCGGCCACCAGAGAGTTGGGGCCCTGATCGAGGAGGAAGCCCGCCTCAGAGCTCAGCTCCTCGACATGTCCTAAAGCCCTGGCAAGAGCGGTCTCCAGGACCCCCTCGCAGATGGCTCCGACAAGGGGGGGGGGGGGGGGCACCTGAGCTCGACGGGTAGCCGTGCCTCCGACAAGGCGACCGCGCTGGTGGTCTCCGGAACAGGTCTTGAGAACGGGGGCAAGGAGAGAGGAACGATTGCACAGAAAGCGAGTCGGTTTTTTGCTCAGGAGCTCCCCGTCAACAGACAAACCAAACTGACACTGGTCGCACTGCCCAGCGACGACACCGGGCAATTCACTCAGCAGGCGAACCGTCTCCAGCTCCCGAGAGCTGGCTCCGAGGGAGTGCTCGATCAAAAAGGCCCTCCCAGAGGCCATCTGAATGAACGCGACTCGGACATAGAAGAGCATGTGCTCGACGCCTTGCTTTTCGACCCGATCGCGGACCTCCGGGGACATGCGATTCCAGGCCGACCTCCGGGGGGCAGAAGAGGCCGTGCACTCTGGGCTCATGATAACTACCTCTGGGCGGTCTTGCCAAATGATCTCCTCGGCAGCGGCCCGTCCCTTGGAGGTGCCAAGGTCCCACCCAGTACTGAGATCCATGCTCTTGGACGTGCGAAACCGTCGGTCTCGGAGCTCCCGGCAAACCCGAGGGGGGGAAAACAATTCCAGGGCCAGGGAACTGCCCCGTCTTTTCAACCATTCCTGGACCCTGCGCTTCCTGGCTCGACGTCCGAAGACGGGAACTTCACTCAGAAAACTCGCGGCTTGTCTCACAGCCCTGGGAACGGCACACCCTCGACTCAGCTCCTGTTCGTCGTTCGGGTCCTGGGGGAGCTGGAAGGCCCCTCGGGCGAGGAGCCCAGAGAACGGGGCGACGTCCTCGGATCTCCAGGCCTCGAACTTCAGGACGGCCTTGCTGGAGTTGCGGACGGCGCTCTGTAACTGCGCTGGCGAGAGGTCGGGAGTCAGGGAGTCTAAAAGGGGAATGTCCTCGCCCGTGACTCGCATTCTGGTGTATCCCAGGAGACTTTCCCGGAACTCTCGACCCCCTTCGCCGGTCACCAGAAAGACCGCCGCCCGGGCTATCATCTGGATCTTCTCCGAGTCACTGAGGAGGGAGGGGATCCATTTCCGATCGGTCGTGATCTGATCCAGCTCGATCGCATTGCCCTGGGCGTCGTCCCACCAAGTGGGAAAAGGCGAAAAAATGAAGCTCACTCGGTCGGCTCTGCTGGCCGCCTGAGCTGATCGCCAGACGTGCCGGGAGTCCCCCTTCCCAGAGTCCCCCTTATCGATCCTAAGAGATCCCTTCCCAACTGGTTCATGGTTTCCCCCTTCCCGCTCCTCGTCTCCTGCTTCAGCGCCCGACGCGGCGCTCAGCCGCTGGTGCCGCGGCTCGCCAGAGCCTGCACAGCCTCCGCCATCTGCTGCAGGGCCTTGTTGTTGTCGCCCAGGGCCTTGAGGGCCTTCGCCGTCGTCTCCGTTCCGCTGGACTGGGCGCCCTTCTCGGTCTTCACCTTGAGGGCGGGTGCCGTCACCGTCTTCTTTCAGACCAGCTCGGGCTTGATGGCCAGTGGAGACGGCCCCGCTTGAGCGGACAAGCGGACTGCACGGGCGTGGTCTGAGTGCCGGCCCCTGCGCTCCTGGGCCCGCTGCAGGCAGTCGAGAACCTGCTGCGGTGAGCGCCTCTCGATCCACAGCCGCGTCTTGCACTTGAGGCAGTGCTCGTACTTGGCGCACTGGTTGTTCCCGCGGCGCCTGGCCCACGTCGGATGGTCGCACTCCAGCGCCACCTCCGAGACGCTCTCGCCGCTCATGAGGTTGGCGTTCATGATCGTGGCCTTGGCGCTTGAGCTCCAAATGGCCCGCAGCGTCATGCGGCGCCAGGCCTGCAACGTCGGGGGAAAGGTGATCTTGCCCGTGGACAGCTCCCCCTGGTCCAGCTCCGGGTCGGTCGCCTCCGAGCTCTCGTCCATGCCGATGGCCCCCCACTCGCCCTTGGCCTTCGTCTCCTGCTGAGCTTGTTGGCGGCGGCGCTGCAGGGCCCTCGCCTCTTTGATCAGCTGGGCTGGGGAGCCGCTCTTCGACTGGGGAGTCTTGCGCACAGGATGGGGGCGCCCCGCCGTCGGAGCCCTTGGAGTAGTCGGACTGGCTGCCTCGCCGGTGGACCGGAGAGAGGCCGGGGAAGTCATCTCGATCTGGTGGTGAAGATGTCGGCCCGCGGGCCTCGGTAGCCACGTCGTGGTGGCTGGGCCCGCGGGCAGCCTCAAGCTTGGTCTCGAGCTCGATGGCTACGGACTGGCGATCGACCTCGGGTTTCATGGTGTCGTCGAAGTCGAGCACCCCCTCTGGAAGGTCTCCAGACGTGGCGCCGCCCCCTTCTTTCTTGTTGACCTCCTCCTCCTCTTCTCTCTCCTCTTCCTGCTGATGGACTCCTGTGCTCTTTCTTCCCTCGTCCTGTGGATAACCTTCTGATCTCGTGCTTCCCTCGACGTGTGGACGTACTGGGGGCCCTGACTGGGCCTCCTCCGCGCCCGGCCCTGGGGCCCGGTCACTACCCACTGAGGCCTTCCCCCCGCGGATCCCCTGGAGCCCGGGACCGCCCGATCGGCAGGCATCTTGGCTCGCGCCGATCTCGAGAAAGCAGGGCGAGGATCGAGGGAGGAGAGACGAGCAGGCGCAAAAGTCGGCGGCCTTCAGTCCTGGCCAGTCCACCGCGGCATCCGCGGCCACCTCGAACAGGTGCGGGGGCCGGGCGCCGAGCAGTCTCACAAGCCTGTGCCCGGGCGGCCCCCGATGCAAGGGCAGTTCAGCGCCGCTCAGGTCGACGATGCCCTTGCGCAGGTCGACCGCGGCGCCCGCGGACTCCAGCCACTTCGCAGGCAGCAGCGGCGGAATCGGGCCCTCCACGATGCGGGAGAAGATGATCACGCTCTGGCTCGGAATCACGGTGATCGGGACCAGGGCCTCGCCGATGACTCTGACGCCCCCTCCGACCCCCCGGGCCTGGCCGGCCACCTTGCCGTAGCGAGTCGGAATCTTCCAGCCTCGGCGGGCGTAGGCGGCCTTCAGCTTCCCCAGGCGCTCGCTGCCCACGAGGGCCTGACCCGCCGCGGTGTCCGCCATGCTGGCTGGCCCCCGATCGTCGTCCAGCTGCCGCGCGCCGCCCTCGATCTGAGCTACAGCACGACAGATCTCCTCGACGCGGGCGGCGCCCACCAGCCAGGTCATGCCCGAGCTCGCGCCGTCGCCCCCCCGGACGCACATGGAGCCGCGCGGCCGAGAGTCGGCCTTGGGACGAGGCCTCGGACGAAAAGGGGTTCGGGCACTCCTTCCCCCAGCGCCCCTCCTGCCCGCAGTTGGCGCACTTGGTGCGGGCCTTCAGCTTCTCAATGCTCAATCGTTGTTTGCCCGAGCCCACTTTGCCTCCGGATACCTTGCCCGCCCGCTTGCTGTCGAAGAAGTCCCTGTCCCTTGCCATCGCCGTCTTCAGCTCCTTGCTCTCGGCCCATCGCCTGGGCTTGCCCCCCTCCTCGCGCTTCTCGTCCAAGATGGCGCCGATCACGGCGCACAGCTGGTCCTCGTCCAGATCCTGGTGGCCCACTGCCACGCGCGCGGCCTCGGCGTCGTCATGCTCGAGGACGGAGTCCTCCAGGAACTCGACGATCCACTCCTCCATGTCCTCCTCGTCGTCGCCTACCAGCTCCTGGACGTTCGCGGCGGTGTTCTCCACGGAGGCGAACACCCTCGACCGCCCTCCCCCGGCGCCTCCGGCTGGGGCCTTGTTGGCGGTGCGCTTCGCGTCCATCCTCGTCATGGCCTTCTTGATCGAGTCCAAGTCGTCTCGGCCCTGCGATGTGCGTAGCATGTTGATGAGATTCTGCTCCGACAGGTGCGCTCCCGACTTCAGCTGCTCGACCTGCATCTTGTCTGGCAGGTCCAGCCCGTACTTCCTGGCCTCCCTAACTTCCAGATCTCGTCGCTGTATGAATTGCGTGAGGGACTCTCCGGGCTTGATGGCTACTTCCTCTAGGGCTCGACGGAACGCTTCCTCCTGCTTATCGTCATCTCGATCTCCTCGGCATTGTCTGAGATATCGAATGAGAACTTCCAGCCCATCCTCGGAGTCGATGTCCTCTTGGACGTGCATCAGCTTATCCTGCAGCTCTAGCGGCAGCTCGTCTACTACTCTTCCTCCCTGGGCTGACGGAGCCAGGGGGGACCTCCGACCCCATCGTCTCAGACTGGCCACCCACGTGTCCAGGCGATCGAAGCCTGGCCATGCCTGTGGCCCCATATTATCGCCTCTGGATGGCGGCGGCTGGGACTGCTGCGGCTGGGTCGTCAGCTCCGGCCACGCGCTGCTCTCGCGCCCCGTCTCGACGGAGCCTGCGGCGGCGGATGCCGGCGGGGCGGGCGCCCGCGCGGCCGTCTCCTGCCCGGCGTGCGCGTCTGGCGCGGCCTGCGCTGGGGCTGCGGCCGGCGCTCTCGGCGCTGCCGGAACGGCGGGCGTGGCCCGCGCCTCGGCGCTCGCCGTCGCGCCCGCCTGGGCGTCCGCCACACGCAGCGCGGGGGCCGCGGCCTGCGCCCTCGGCGCGGCGGGCGAAGCCGCACTCGCCGCTGCGGCGGCTCCCAGCCGCGTCGCCGGCGGCGCTGCTGGCGCGAGGCTCGACCACTGCTGGGTCCCCTCTCGGCCCAGCCACATCGTCACGTAGCTGGCCGTCTCGACGGCCGGCGCTCGGACCTCGACGGCAGCTGTGCCGGTGGTCCGAGCGAGTCCTCTCCACGGGTCTTCTCTCAGCCAAGGATCTTCCCCTCGGCGGTCATCTGCCCACTGCCATGACCAGGACCAGGTCCAGCTCCCCTGACGGCTCCATGCCTGACCCCAGTCAGGTCTCCCGGCCGTCTCGCTGTCTTCTGGCTCGTCTCCCAGTGGGTCTTGATCGCCTGCAGGGGCAGGCGACTGTTGATCTCCGGTGGTGGCGGTCTGCTGCAGGACAGCCCTGTCCTCCTCCTCTGCTCTCTCTTCGGTGTCGATCCGTCCTTGATCTGCCTCAACCATGACAGCTCCGCTTACCATTGTTCGTCGCACGTCGCCGTTATGACACTATCTGGACGGGCTGAATCGGGAAGAGAGAGGAGCTGGGGACTAGGGTCATTTCTGAGCATCGCGCCCTTGAGCCAAAGTGCCCTCAAACAGTGCACGTGAAGGGCAGCACGGGGGGACAATGGATGGGGTGCAATGGAAAAGAGAGACACCTCCTCCCTCCTCCCTCCTCCTCCCTCCTCCCCCCTCCTCCTCCCTCCTCCCTCCTCTCTCCTCCCTCCTCCCTCCTCCTCCTCCTCCTCCTCCTCCTCCTCCTCCTCCTCCTCCTCCTCCTCCTCCTCCTCCTCCTCCTCCTCCTCCTCCTCCTCCTCCTCCTCCTCCTCCTCCTCCTCCTCCTCCTCCTCCTCTTCCTCCCTCCTCTTCCCTCCTCCTCCTCCTCCTCCTCCTCCTCCTCCTCCTCCTCCTCCTCCTCCTCCTGCCTCCTCCTCCTCCTCCTCCTCCTCCTCGCCTCCTCCTCCCTCCTCCTCCTCCTCCTCCCTCCTCCCTCCTCCCTCCTCCCTCCTCCCTCCTCCTCCTCCCTCCCTCCCTCCTCCTCCCTCCTCCCTCCTCCCTCCTCCCTCCTCCCTCCTCTCCTCCTCCTCCTCCTCCGTTCCCTCCCTTCCCTCCTTCCCTCCCTTCCTCCCTCCCTCCCTTCCCTCCCTTCCCTCCCTTCCCTCCCTTTCCCTCCCTTCCCTCCCTTCCTCCCTTCCCTCCCTTCCCTCCTTCCTCCCTTCCCTCCCTTCCCTCCCTCCTTCCTCCTTCCTCCTTCCACCTTCCACCCCCCTCCCTCCTCCCTCCTCCTCCTCCCTCCTCCCCTCCCCCTCCTCCCCCCCCTCCTCCTCCTCCCTCCTCCCTCCTCCTCCCTCCTCCCTCCTCCCCCTCCCTCCTCCCTCTTCCCTCCTCCCTCCTCCCCTCCTCCTCCTCCTCCTCCTCCTCCTCTCCTCCTCTCTCCTCCCCCTCCTCCTCCTCCTCCTCTCCTCCTGCTCCTCCTGCTCCTGCTCCTCCTCCTCCTCCTCCTCCTCCTCCTCCTCCTCTCCTCCTCCTCCTCCTCCTCCTCCTCCTCCCCCTCCTCTTCCTCCCTCCTCCGCCTCCCGCCTCCGCCTCCGCCTCCGCCTCCGCCTCCGCCTCCTCCCTCCTCCTCCTCCTCCTCCTCCTCCTCCTCCTCCTCCTCCTCCTCCTGTTCCTGCTCCTCTTCTTCCTGCTCCTCTTCTTCCTCCTCCTCCTCCTCCTCCTCCTCCTCCCCTCCTCCTGGGCGACGCCAGCCGTGCACCACAGCAATTCGGTTCACGCGTCCACTCGTGCTGGCACGTGCGGTGGCGTGCATCAAGCCGGCCTGTTGAAGGGTGAAAGTGGGGGTCGGGCGCAGGGTCCCGGCAATGATGTCTTTATAGGCCACGCATGGGCGATACATGTTCGACTGCTGTGTTCGGCGGGGGGACCAATTGAACTTCCCCGCCTGCACCCATGCGCGAGAAGTGGGGGTAAACGAAGCAAGGCGGCGGGGGGCTCGGGAAATGCGACGAATGCAACGTGCGCTGAGGGCGCCAAAAGGGGGTTTGAGTAAACATAAGCGGTGATGTGAGTGCCACAAGTTGCCCAGCCAATCTGATATGCGCAACACTGCGCCTCAGTTCTGGGCATCTTGCAGGCCACGGTGAATTCACATTCTGGGAAAGAGAATATGTGAATTCACATGTTGGGGAAAAAAGGGAAATGTGAACTCACATTTTGGATTTTTGTGTAAGAGTCTTTGTGAAGGGGCCAGAGTGTGAATTCACATTTTGGAGAAAGGGAGAATGTGAATTCACAGTTTGGAAAAAAAAAGGAAATATGAATTTACATGTTGGGAGAATCGCGGGGCCCATTCCAAATCTGTCTTGGGGGTCGACAAGTCATCGCTCGGGAACATACACGATCATCAATCGCACAATCAAGACACACTTGCGCTCCACTTCGCCGCCCCACGCGCAATGTGCAAGAACGCCCGCACGCATGAACGATAATGGATGGACGGCGCGTTTGCCCGCGCGGGCAACGCGCGGGCACGAACGACTGGCCCTCCATGACCGCCAACATCGGATGCCAATCATACCCGATCACATACATTAGCGATACATTGAGCATACATGATACATGGGCCATTCAGCCCCCATTGAGGACCACCTGCTGCAGGCCTCCTCTTTCACCCTCCAAGCCTGGCACACGGCTCGCGTAATCTAAGCCTCGCCCCGGTCCTCATCCCGGGCAAGTCTGGCTCCCGCCACTGCAGGTCTACGCCCGCGGGGTCAACGGACTCGCACTCCCGGAAGAACTCGCGGGCCGCCTGGTACCTTCCCAGTGGGGAGGGAGGGAGGGAGGGGGAGAAGAGGGAGGGGATGGAGTGGGAGGGGGAGGAGACAGGAGGGGGGAGACGCAGGAGCAGGAGTAGTCCGAGAAAGGATTTAGGAGGGGGAGAAGGAGGGGGGAGGGGAACGAGGCAGAGGTACTTAGGAGGGGCCACACTCGGAGTGAACCTCCAACAGCGATTGCAACGAAAAGTGCAGCAGAAAAGACAGGCACGTCCGAAAATTCGCCGGCCCAACGGGCCAGAGGCGTGCTAAGATCTCCGGTGACTGCTTTACAATCTTTCTATTTCTACTTCGCGCGCGCGGGGCGGCCCCTGGGGGTCCCCGGGCGGAAAGTACCCCGGCAAGGTCCTGAGAGAGTCCCGGGAGGAGTCACCAGGGCGCTCCAGCAGCGCACCAACGCGGTTCCGAGACGTCCCCGAGAGCCCCAAGAAAGGCCAAGAGGCCCCCAAGAGGCCTCCAAGATGGTACACGAGGGGTCCGACATGCCACAAGATCGCTCCAAGACGCCCAAGATAGCCCCCAGACGCCCCAAGAGGCCTCCAAGAGCACTCCCAAGAGGGCCCCCAGAGGCAAAATTCATTGTTTTTCCTTAAGTTTTTGAGAGATTTTGGAACTTCCACCTTTTCGGCTTCCCCCCGCCCCAAGACGGCCCAAGAGGCCCCCAAGCTCTCCCCAAGAGGGCCCAAGAGGCCCCCAAGAGGGCCCCAAGATGGCCCAAGAGGGCTCGAAGACGGCCCAAGAAGCCTCCAAGACGGTCCAAGAGGGCCCCAAGAACGCCCCCAAAGGGGCCCCAGAGAGGGAACACGAAACAACATTTCGAGCCCTCGGCCCTAAGAAGCCCCTACGAGGCCCCAAGAGGCCCCTATGAGGCCCCAAGAGGCCCCCACGAGGCCCTCAGGAGGCCCCCAAGAGTCCCCCAAGCGGCCCCAGGAGGCCCCCCAAATGCCCCCCCGAGCGCCCCAGGAGTCCCCCAAGCGGCCCCAGGAACCCCCAAAGCGCCGCATTGACACCAGGCCCTCGGGCAAACGGCAGACATGAGACTGTATGGGCCGGCGGAATGAGCGAAGCGATTAAATAATGTCCTGCCAACTTCGCTGGGAACGCAAAGCAAGCAAGCACGCTCGAAACGAACTCCCTGACACTAACGTGGCAACGGAGCTGGGCGACGTGGGATGCACAAAAATCGAACCGGCAAGCTCGAAACCGGCTCCCTGCCAACCTTCCCTTCAATGCGCGCGCCAGGACTATGGTTAAATCGGTTCGACGATAAATAAAAAATGCCAACAAAAACACTCCGTAATTGCCAAAAATACTAAAAAAATAGTCCCCAGACTTTTTTTTACTATTTTTTAATATTCCCCATGTAGAGGGACAGGCCCGACTTAAGACTATGGCAACGAACCTGGCAACAATCCAAAGAAATGCTGGCAGTGAGCTTCGCACCACCAGCGCCGGTAACAAGAGGTGCTTCAGGGGCGAACAGGCACGCTCGGAGCGGCGTCCCTAGTCAGCAGCGCTGGCAACGCGAGGTGCACCAGATGCGAGTATCAGCAAGTTCGAAAGGAGTTTCCTACTGACTTCGTTGGGGAAACCAAAATTTGGACGCCCGAAATGGGTACGGGAAAAATGGGTACAATGCCCAACAACAAATGTTGTCCCAAACCAACGGCGGCCGCTGTTGGGCAGGCGGCCTTCTGTTTCAGATAGACACGGGCCGCGGCGGCGCGGACAGCGAGTCCTGTTCAAAATGAACAAGAACTGGTGTTGAGCATTGTACCCATTCTTTCCGTGCCCATCTCGTTCGTGCAGATCGGCAAGTTCGAAAGGAGCTTCCTACTGACTTCGCTGGGGAAACCAAAAGGTACCGATACCGCCACTCCCCGGAGCTCTCCTGGGGTGCGTCCTGACCAGGATTTCGAGGCGAACCCAGCGGTGGCGACGAGGTCCTCCGAGGAGGCCCGAAAACAGGGGCAAACGGCCGAAGAGTAGAGGTGTGGGTACCTCTTCCTCCTCCGGCTTCGTCGTGAACGCGATGCGCGCCCAGAGTCGACTGCCGCGCTTGCAGCGCGCTTCCTGGCAGCAGCGCCTGCATCGCGAATCGGGTGCTGCTAGAAGTACCCCTGGCCCGAGGCGTCCCCAGGACTCTCGGGGTGCGGCCTGCCGAGGGCCAGGGCAGGGCGGCGCGTGCCAGGAGCGGGCTGGCACACCGAGCTAACTCCCCTGCAACAGCGCTGGCAGCTCGCTGGGAAACTCTGAAAAGCAACAACAACCACCACCACCACCACCACCACCACCACCACCACCACAACAACAACAACAACAACAACAACAACAACAACAACAACAACAACAACAATCATTTAAGACTGGGGACACTCCGTTCTCACCAGTGCCAGGGTTTTCATAGGAGGCGGGCAATACCCCCACTTTGTGGGGGGGCCGGTTCAAGCTCTACCAAATTTCCAAACGACTCTTCGCCACCACCCACACCCAGCTTCCCGCCCTATGACGTTCGGACACTTCACTTCGTGGCATGCGGACGACCGTGGCTACTATTCAGGGCCCCGCGGCCGACGACGACGGCGTGCGCGCGCGAAGAAAAAACGAATGTGTCCCGCATGGTATTATTTGACAGGGATGATGGCCCTGGCAGGTGCGCAACCGTTGTCGCAGAAGTTCGAAAAAGTTGCTCGCAAAAGCCCGTTTGACAGAAATGTTTAAAAAGTGTTGGGTTTCCTACGAATCCGCAAGAGCGCGCGGGATGAGATTTTGACATTTTTTTGTTGAAAAACCATTGGTTTTTTGATGTTTTTATGTTAAAATCGCTCCGAACACTAAGCTTTTGGAAGGATTTCGTCTTGCGCGCGCGAATGTCCACTTTACCTTATTTTTTGCAAGGGATTCTTGAAGTTTGGTTATTTTAGAACAAGAAATTTCATTTTATAGTGTTTTTTGCAAGGGACAGCGGGGGGGAACAAAACAACCGGATCTTGATGACATCGTATTACCTGAGGCTTCCTCACGAAAATGATGAAAATGTAGCTGCGGCCTAGGCGGCGCAGGGGGGCCGTGCACCAGGGGTCCCAACAATAATTATTCTTTAGAATTAATAATGTTCAACAACAACAACAACGACGACGACGACGACGACGACGACGACGACGACGACAACAACAACAACAGCAGCAGCAGCAGCAGCAGCAGCAACAACAACAACAGCAGCAGCAGCAACAACAACAACACCAACACCAACAACCAACAACCAACAACCAACAACCAACAACCAATCACAACCAATCACAACAACAACAACACCAGCAACAAACAAATAACAACAACAACAGCAGACACAACAGGATTATCAGCAACAACACCACCAACCACAGCAACACCAACAAACACATCAACATCAACAACAACAGCAACAAACCCCACAGCAACAGCAACCGCAACAGCACCAGCAACAACACCAGCAGCAGCAACAACAACGACAACGACAACGACAAGAACAACAACAACAACAACAACAACAACAACAACGACAACGACAACAACAACCACAACAACAACACAAACAACAACAACAGCAACAGCAACAACATCACCAACCACAACAACAAGAACAACAAAAACAACAACATCAACAACAACAATAACAACAATAACCACAGCAACCGCAACCGCAACCGCAACAGCAACAACACCAGCAGCAGCAACAACAACGACAACGACAACGACAACGACAACGACAAGAACAATAACAGCAACCAACAACAACGACAACGACAACGACAACGACAACAACAACAACAACAACAAGCACAACAACAACAACAACAACAACGACAACAACAACAACAACAACAACAACAACAACAACAACAACAATTACTAGCACGTGGGGACACTCCGTTCTCACCAGTGCCAGGGTTTTCATAGGAGGCGGGCAATACCCCCACTTTGTGGGGGGGCCGGTTCAAGCTCTACCAAATTTCCAAACGACTCTTCGCCACCACCCACACCCAGCTTCCCGCCCTATGACGTTCGGACACTTCACTTCGTGGCATGCGGACGACCGTGGCTACTATTCAGGGCCCCGCGGCCGACGACGACGGCGTGCGCGCGCGAAGAAAAAACGAATGTGTCCCGCATGGTATTATTTGACAGGGATGATGGCCCTGGCAGGTGCGCAACCGTTGTCGCAGAAGTTCGAAAAAGTTGCTCGCAAAAGCCCGTTTGACAGAAATGTTTAAAAAGTGTTGGGTTTCCTACGAATCCGCAAGAGCGCGCGGGATGAGATTTTGACATTTTTTTGTTGAAAAACCATTGGTTTTTTGATGTTTTTATGTTAAAATCGCTGCGAACACTAAGGTTTTGGAAGGATTTCGTCTTGCGCGCGCGAATGTCCACTTTACCTTATTTTTTGCAAGGGATTCTTGAAATTTGATTATATTAGAACAAGAAATGTCATTTTCTATTGTTTTTTGCAAGGGAAAGCGGATTACAACAAAACAACCGGATCCTGTACACACCCTCTTTTCTGAGGCTTCCTCACGAAAATGATGAAAATGTAGCTGCGGCCTAGGCGGCGCAGGGGGGGCGCGCACCAGGGGGCCCAACAATAATTATTCTTTAGAATAAATAATGTTCAACAACAACAACAACAACAATCACCCGAACGCGTGGTGTTCTCCCCAGTGCCAGGGTTTTCATACGACACCAGGCAATACCCCCACTTCGTGGGGGGGCATTACAAGCTCTACCAAATATCCAAACGACTCTTCGCGACCACCCAAACCCAGCTTCCCGCCCTATGACGTTGGGACACTTCACTTCGTGGCGTGCGGACGACCGTGGCTACTACACTGGCGTGGGGTACACACCCACAGAACCTTTTTGGAGATTTCGGCGTGCGCGCGCGAAGAAAAAACGAATGTGTCCCGCATGGTATTATTTGACAGGGATGATGGCCCTGGCAGGTG